GAGACAAATGGCTTAAACAATGACCAGAAATTATATTTGGCTTGCTTTTCTCATTCTTATTCCAGCAGTCATAAGCCAAAGAGGCAGAGTTCACCCTGGAGAGGTCAATAATCTGTCACGGGGCTAGTTGTAATTTACCTTTTAAAATTCAGGTTTTGATGAATGAAATACCCTTCAACCTCAGAGTCATTTTTTAAGATTGTTTTTGTTTTTCATCTTTTAAAAATGTTAAAAACACAGTCTCTTTCACTGCTTGAACAATCAATGTATCTCTAATAATGGATCAGCGTCCATCTGTATGCAAAGTAAGCTCCCCCACAGACTCGATATATTGCTGCTGGTTGCAAAAGAAGAATAGAAGCTCCTGGGAGATCACCTTCAGCACCAACATGTTCTCTGTAGCTCTGCTGCTGCTGCTGGCTGCTGGATCCTGTGAGTCTCACTGAACACAAACACTGACAGCATGAACACTACACACTTTTAATTTGACTGCATTCAATGCGTTTTTTCCACAGGTGTAAACTGTGAGCAGCTGACACAGCCACCCTCTGTTATACTGCAGCCAGGTCAGCGTCTGACCATCACCTGTCAGGTCTCTTATTCTCTTGGCTACTACACAGCTTGGATCCGACAGCCTGCAGGGAAAGGACTGGAGTGGATTGGGATAAAAAATACTGGGAGCTCTTACTATAAAGATTCACTAAAGAGCAAGTTCAGTATTGACTTAGACACATCAAGCAAGACAGTGACTCTAAATGGACAGAACATGCAGCCAGAAGACACTGCTGTGTATTACTGTGCCAGAGTCTCACAGTAACACAAACTGTTAGGACCCCTGAACAAAAACCTCTCAGGGTCTGAACAACTGTAGCATGAAGCCACCAGAGGAGGAGCTCTAAGACCATGAATGAATTTAAGATGTTTTTCTAAGAAACTTACTCTTGTTTTAGTCTCATAACTGTTTAAATATGGTGGGTTTAAATGATGAGTAACAAACACTTGAATAAAATAATTGGGTGAACAAAACTTAAAGACTCCTTGTATTTACTTCTGTTATTCAAGGTAATCAATAATTAATCAATGCTCAGATATAATGTGAGATTATAGCAACAGCTACTGTATAGTCCAATAACATCACATAAAGTGCATTAAGCAGCCATTTTATTAGGTGTTTTAGAAACTGCTGATCTGCCATGAATAGTCTGAAAAAGAGAAAATATTCAGTGAGTGGCAGGAGAAAAGGCCTCGCTGATGTCAGATGTCAGAGGAGAATTTCCAGACAGCTTTGAACCGAAATCAACAGTAACTAAAATAACCACTCAACACAACCAAGATATGCAGAAGAACATCTGAACCTTTCAGCAGATGAGCAGCAGCAGAAGATTTGTTGCAGTTAAACCTGTTCTGAGAACACGTGTTTATATTTGCTTTCAATTGAAGACATGTCTGTGAAGGTTCTCAGTCATCCAGGTCATCGTAGTCAAAGGAGCTTGCAAAGGACCCCCTGATGATCTTCTAATCGCCTGAGCCAAGGTGTGGAACCTTGGCTCAGGCGATTAGAGGATCATCAGGGGGTCCTTTTGTCCCTCTGTGGGGGGACACTCCCACTAGGTTTAAATCTGGGACTCCCCACCA